AATGTCCATATCACAAATGCAACAAGATAATAAATATGGGACAATAGATTTCCACATCACCTGTGAGGTACTATTATTAACGCGTTCTTCAACAATAATACCTCACAGGTGATGTGGAAATCTATATTTATCCCATATTTATTATCTTGTTGCATTTATGATATGGACATTCCTGAGGCTGAGTATCGCGCACCTTAGTTACGCGCGTTGTTAACGCGTTTGGCAACTCGTTGCTAGCAGGCAAGTCGGGGGCAGGAGGCGTCAATCAGAAAATCGAGCCGAAAGCTACAACTCCCATCTTTATTCTAGATTATTACGATCACATTTTAATTTAGTGATCTGCTTCGAAACTGTCAACAATTTTTTGATTCAACAACTGTATAAAAACTAATTAACAGGATAACTTATAATTTTATGTGTTCTCATGATGAGACAGACCATTGTATTAATAATTTCATAATTTTATAAGTTATTCTATTGCTGTTTATACTTTCCTCCAAGAAATTTTTAAATAATCCATGTATAATATATAATTCAGTATCACAGAAACGACAATGCTATTACAGATATTATATTTTGAATAAACTTTTTATTTTATATAAAACTTTTATTGTAAGAGATATACATATGAATTGCATAAGTTTATTTTTATGTATAAACATAAATCAAAATCTAAAAAACCTAGGGAAAAATGTGCAAATACAAATAAAAAGATAATATTATTTTTTTACAGAATTATATAAATTAACGAAAAGATTTTCAAAAAGTTTAAGAGAATATATGTACAATCACAGAGGAGATTAATTAACCCCTTATGGTAGGCAGATGGTCAAAATTTTGCTGATGTATGGAGGAGCTTTTTGGTCTATTTTCACTTTGGCTATGAACAGAAGTACCAGCCTTGGGTAATTGCGGTAATACCATTTGACTATAATTAGCATTCTGAAAATACAATATATAACCATGTTACCCATCCTCTCTTTCTATACATAATATAAAGGATGTTTATGTTATATATTTTCGGGTAAATTTCGTTGAATTATAATAATTTTTTAATGAAAGATATTTCGCTAGATAGTAACTAAATAGTTTTTAAAATAGTATTTGCAAAACCTTGCAAGCAAGTTCCATTTGGTTTATGTCGCTTATATGCTATTATATTTTGGTGGAAAATTCTTAAATTTTTGCTAATTTTTTCTTTCGATAATAGTGTACGATAAAATCTGCATCAAACTTGCTTCCATATCGAAAAATCTTGTAGCAGATACTTCGCAAAATCAATCTTCAACAAATTTTGTTATTTGGGTTATTTTCTGAATGTCTTTTGTATATATTATTTATCATTAACTTACCCGAGAACGTTCTCGATATTTTTTAAGTTTTTCAAATTCTTCTGTCTCGACGTCCGGCATTTTGAAATGAAAATTATCGAAATAAGAATGTCGTAACAATTGTTCGCATGTCCACCTTTCATTTGGATCTTTATCTAAGCACTTTTTTAGGAAATCCAGCTATTGACAAAAAAAATTTATATTTAATTTTTATTTAATTATTACTGAAATAATTTTCAAGGTATATTATATGCGATATAATACGTTATATTATAATTGATATAATACAACAAGGCTCTAAATACTTTTCTTAGCAAATTAACGCATGTATCGAATTAAAAAACTATGAGGATGTCATATTTCGATAAATGTTATATGTTTAGCAGTACTACATTTTGCCATGTTTTTTGAAGATTATACTATTTTTAAAAATATAGATATATGCATTTCTATACAATTTGCATTTTCAGCAGTAGTTAAAAAAACATTACTAGACATATGTTGACTGAAGCTTTATTTTCTCAAAATCGAATTTACTATGATACCACAATGTCTTTTGATACACATTTTAAACTGTAGTCAAAACGAGTTATTAAATTGTTATTACCTGTAAAGAGGTGCTATTTCCACGGGGTAAAATGTCTTCGAGAGGTGTAAGCGTTTGCGGTGTTGGAAGAGTGATGCCAGTAAAAAATTCGTTCTGTTGAAAAATAGCTATGTGTCTCGGCAAAAGATCGCCCAACGTTCTTCGTATTAAATACAATTGATCTACGTCTGATTTTCCTGGCCACAAAGCTTCACCCCGTATTAATTCTGCAAACACACAACCGATTGCCCACACATCGACCGGAGTACCATACTGCGTATCCCCAACCTGCTTCGAAAAACATGCAGTTAAATTATTAACTGCTAGATAATTTTTTAGTCTCAATTAAAATTTAAAGTTTTTGTATGAAAAAGTTGCTTGATTAAACAAAATATTTGTTCAGTGACCAATTGATTCCATTGTGATCTTCAGTACAAATAGTGCTATTAAAAATTTTTCTTGTAAAGGAGGAGAGGTAAAGTAGGCCAATTTTGGCCCCTAACGACAAGTGAAAATGATATGTTTTTTTGTAGTTTTTGAGCTGCTGAATCTGAATCCGACTTTTAAAAATGTCTAATCTGTCAGAAAAGTATTAAAATCAGCATATGAAGCTGTTAAACATATAAGAAGCTGTTATGAGAATGGTATGTTAATGAAACTGTAAAATAATAGTGAAATATTTGATGAAAATTGATCAATATACTAACAACACAAATTAATAAATAACGAAGGCCTTATTTGGTCAAAGCAGATCTTGGTGCTTAAAAATATATTTTGCGTGAATCTTACAGTTTGTAATGATAAAATACTATATACATACTATTGTAGTAAAAATACTATTGTAGTATATTTACTACAATAGTATTTTACTACAATGTAGTATTTTTACTACAATAGTAAAATACTTTTAATGAACTGAAATCTATTATACACATGAGTGTGGAGAAAATCCTTCTAAGGCGTAATAAACAACAATGCTCTCAGGTGCAGTAGTTAAGATTTAAAATGGTTTCCATCGATAATGCCTCTGTTTTTAAATATTAATAATTTTTACTTTTTTTATCAAGCAAAATATGAACTATTAGAGATAAGAGTATTATCATGTGTTACTAGCAAAAAAACACGAATTAATACGTTCGTAACGCTCAACAATAATAATTTACGGTACTAGATATTTGACAGCTTTATATGCTGATTTTAATATTTCCCCGACAGGTTAGACATTTTAAAGATCAGATTCAGCAGCTCAAAAACTACAAAAAAACATATCGTTTTTACTTGCCGCTCCGGGGGCCAAAATCGGTCTATTTTACCCATCCTCCTTTGTTGGAAAATTTTACGATTATACTATATATACTTAAATGTTTACCAGTAATTCGGGTGCTCTGTACCACCTGGTCGCGACATATTCTGTATAGTTCTCTCCAGGACTAAGCATACGCGCGAATCCAAAATCGCATAATTTTACTACACCTTCGCCGGTGATAAGAATATTCTCTGGTTTCACATCTCTGTGAACACATCCAAGACGATGGCAATAAGCAATACCCTGCAGAATTTGCCAGGTGATTTGCCTCGTCGTAAGATCTGGACAACCACTTGGATATTTCTCCATTTCATTTAGAAGGGTGTTTTCACAATATTCAAATACTAGATGTAATTTCCTTTTCCGCCTGAAGACTTCCAGAAGATTAACTAAATTTGGATGCTTGAGATTCTAAAAGAAAATGTCATTGTTTAATTTTTATTTTAATTATATTCTACAGTAATATATGTAAAGCGCTCTCTCTCTCTCTCTCTCTCTCTCTCTCTCTCTCTCTCTCTCTCTCTCTCCTCTCCTCTCTCTCTCTCCTCCTCCCTCCCTCCCTCCCTCCCTCCCTCCCTCCTCCCTCCCCCTCCCCTCCTCTCTCTCTCTCTCGCTCTCTCTCTCTCTCTCCCTCTTCCCCTCCCTTTCCCTTTCTCTCACCCTCTCCTCCCTCCCCCTCTTCTCCCACCCTCACCCCTCTCTCTTTTTCTTTCCCTCCTCCTTCCTCCCTCCTCTTTCCACATCTTCCTTTCTTTCTCCCCTCCCCTTCCCCTCCTCATTTCTCTTACTTTCTCTCTTTTTCTTTCCCTCTTTCTTCTTTTCACTCTCTCTTACTCTCTTTTCATACGCTCTTCTCCTTTCACTTTATTTCTTCTTTTTTCTCATCTCTTTCGCCCGTCTTCCCCCTTTTCCTTTCTCCCCTTCTTCACCCCTTCCCCTTTTTCTTTTTCTCTCTTTTTCTCTCTCTCTCTCGCAAAATAGATACTTATTTTTAAGAAACTCTTGTCTATCGAAGGAAATAACTTTGAAACAAAGTGTGAAGATATGGCAGTAATGGGGTATTATTTGAATGCGCATATGTTAGTGGCAAACTCGCTGATTGCAATGAAAAGGTTGGGTTTGTAAGACCAGAACACGCCAAGATATTGATTGCCTGCCGTGGTATTGACCGTTGGCTATTTCGTACAACCCGTTCTCATAAGCTTCTTCAACGTAAATAAGAACGCAACTTTCTGCATAGAACAATTGCTTTAAAAGTTCACTATTTCAATTTTACCGTAAGCAACACAAAATAAAAAATAAAAAAGGCAATTTTTCTAGATGTATTCATAAATAATTTGTTTACTAATTTTGCCCAGCTAAGCACATATATCTATTTGATATATTTTCAATTTGATATATTTTTCTGTGTGATGTTTCTTATTAAAGTGTTAAAAATTATAAGTGAACTCTTGATCCACTCCCACGATGTAGTAACGTACCATATCGCAATTTTCATATCGAGTAAGTTATGCTTTATATCTTATAAAATATTTAAGATATATTATAAATGACTACTATTTGGAATCAAGTGATTTCTGTTGAATGCAGCAACTATCATTGAATCGTTCAAGCTAAGAAAAATTTGTATATTGGCACAGAATCTAACAATGAAATAATGAATAACAATAAAGAATATTCCGACAATTTAAGTTTAACTATATATTTAAAAATGTAATAATGCAAAAAAAATGTAAACATAATTTATAGGTAGACGCAATATTATTTAGCTCTTGGGAGGTCAGAATTATTGCATCTTATTACCCTCTAGCTGAGTGGTAGCTAGCGGTCACGGATATACATTCCTCGGATCATTCACCTTTAAGAATGCAACTCTTAGTAAAGTTAGTTCAATCGATTTAGAGATTTGATAGAATTTTGAAAACTTGGAGAATCATGATAATGGTTTCTTTAATGGTTTTTTTAAATATTTGCTATGTTTATAAAAACTGACCTTCAAAAGACGGATCTCTCGTAGAGCGATCTTACGTATCAGTGGGTCATCTTCAGTCTGCTGAAATTTCTTCACAGCTACCAATTTTCCAGTTTGCCGATCCCTACACTGGAAGACAACGCCGTAGCTACCCTCGCCAAGTCGTGCTAGACGTTCGTAACGCTCCATGGCTTTGCTCGGCGCCCGAGACCTATGCAGACAATAATTTCCATTAGTATTATAAATTCCATCATGATATTTGAAAAGCATTCACAATGAAATTTAAAAAGATGAAAAATACGGTATGCATATCATATTTTCTTTCAAAAGAGATAGAGCAACAGAAATTTGATTGAAACCTAACGTATATGATTTAATATCAAGTCAGCAACTTTCTAAAATTATTAAATAAAACGTGAAAAAAAATAGTGTTTATGTACAATGTA